CTTTCCTTGTTGGAATATCGATAATAAATTCTATAATGCGAATAAAATCTCCTTCTGTTGTTACAGCATACGAATTATCTGATCGAATCATATTTCTTCTTGATGATGTGTACAAACATCGTTCTTTTACCATTTTACGATATGTTCGACTTTCATCTGATAATTCAAGTTCTTCTTTCCACATTAAACTAGTTTTATAATGTGGTCCAAAGTATCTTGCATGCGATAATTTACATGTTTGTTTTGCGTTTTTTTTGTCCAGATAAGAAATAAAACTACTTACATTTGAAAACGCATTATGTAGTCTCGATAAATGTAGTAATAAAATTACATTATGAAAGTATGAATTACTTATTGACTAGTTCAAAATCTTAATTATATAAAAACATTTCTTTTATAATAAAACATTTTGCACATAAAAATATTAAAAACAATTGTGAAACCAAAAAAACATATATAAAAAATTCAGACTAGCGTTTAAGCCAGAATTGCGTCATTCTTTGGTAAACAATTTTCGTTAAATTGTATGTTGAATCACATAATTAATTACATGTTATTTTCGATTTTTTTGACCAGTTAAATCGCATAACGAAATCATGTAATTTCATCACAAAGAGTTTAGAAACATTTTATTATATAACGAAAGTCTCAAAAATAACATGTAATGTATCACTTAAATTATCGCCATTTGTTTATAACATGTTATAAATAAAAACGTGATTAATATATCATTATAAGCTTATTTTAGTCATCATCTGATGATGATTCATTGGAACTTGAATCATTGCTATTGTGTGAAGAACTTGATGACGCTGATGAGTTGGATGATGTGCAAATACTTTTTCTTTGTTTTTCTTCTGCAAAACATTTTTAACATTGTTATTATTAAGACATTTTTTTATTTTTTAAATACTAAGTACTTTTGAAGTATATTGTTTTCTGATTGTTTGGTGTTTATTTGCTGAAAGGTGTTTTGATCTAAGATTCTCCTCTAAAATCTAGAATGTTTATTTATTTGTTATAATCATCTATGCTAAAAAATGTTTAAAATATAAAAAATTTTTTATTTAATTCAATGTCCTATATTTTACATGTAAACACAATTTTATTACTTTTTTTAAGTGAACAAAGTAAAGAAAAAAATCTATTACTTATTATTAGAAAAAACTACTATGCTTTAAGGGTTAATTTCATTATATTAATTGCCTTTACAAATTTTTCATTAAAGAAAAACAAAAAAAGATTACCTTTTAACAGATAAAAATTATTTGTCTTGACGTTGTTAAAATAATATTTACCTTTTATTTCTGTTTCAATAAGAAAATTTATGTAGATGCTCAAGTAACGTCTCCATTTATTTATCAGTTGTTTTTTTTCTTTCTTGTGGTGCATTTCGATAAAAGCTGAATAGCATTCTAGATGAAATAAGTTTTTATATTACGCTCATTTTGACGGAGTACATTAAAAATGCGAGTGTGTGAAATCCTAACTTTATTATTGGATAATGTTATTAATAGCACTATTAAGCCAAATAAATGTCTATTAGATGTCTATTAGACGTTTTTTGACCTGTATTATAATGATTTAGCTTTAATAGTGATATTAATAAAATAATCCAATAATAACTAATTCTTTACAAAGTGATTATTTTTTCTGTTATACATACTTTTTAAAACAGCTTTTTTTACCGGTGTTAGTGGCTTTCTTGGGGATCGGTTGGGCAATCTATTTTTACTTCTTTCCAACAACACAGCTCTATTCATCAATTTGTGCACTCCCCAAAGTGCTCGGCTCAATTGTCTAACAAATAAAGAAGGTCTTTTCAACTTCTTTATTTCTTTCCATGTTATATACGGTATTGAGATACCGTACCTCAAGTGCATCATTTTAATCTAAAAAAAAAGGAATTAAAATTTTTGTTATTGTTTTAGAAATTATTCTAATAATTATCGTTATTGAATTAACTTATAAATACAGATTTAAAATAATTTTAATAATTTTCAAGTTATATTTAAGTTGTATGTTTCTTAAATACTTAAATTTTAATTAATCTTCTTTAATAATATTATTAATTAATAACACACATTATATATTTCTTAAATTTTAAGTTCCCAAAATAAAAAAATAAGTTCCAAAAGAATTATTGTTTTTATCAAAACGACGTACAAAAACGTAAAACAAAAACTAGTTACGTAGTAAAACAAAAAATACGTTACGAGGATGTGCGTGACAAGATAAAAATATTGAGTTTATAAGTGCGGAAAGCACACATCGCTACATTCTCGCGAATACATTAAAAATGCCTTTAGCCCGTATCAGATTGCGGATTGAAGATTAAGATTAAAGATTGAAGATTGGGACTAATCAAGAAGAAGCAATATTTGTTTGCTTCTTCCCGATTGATCAAATTCCCAATCTTCAATCTTTAATCTAAATTTTCAATGCGTAATCTAATACGGCCTTTAGAGTTCCTGCTCACAGGACGCGGAACCACTTGCCGTGCGACAAAAAACGACGCTGGAATCAAGATCACTCTTATGGAAGAGTTGTAAATTGATTGGCTATTACGATGCTTTTTGCTGCGCGGCAAATGTTTCCGCATCCTGTGGAGCTCTTAAATTTAATTTAATTTAAACAACATTTTTTACATCTAAACTTACAGTTGTTCCGCTTACTTCGTCGTTCCAAGTAGTCATATTCTCTTTATCTGTTAATCCAATATATTGATCAGAATCGTAATCCAGGTCACTTCCTTTATTCTTATTTTTTTCTTTTATCTTTCTTTGACTTTTTATTTTTTTTGCTTTCTTTCTTTGTTTTTTTTTATTACTCTTTGCTTTTTGAGTTGTTTTATTGTTTTTTGCTAAAACTTTAATACAAAAGTCATCTTGCAATAAAGATTGCTCACTCCTTAGTTGAGAAGTACTAGGTTCACTGAAAACAGCATCTTGTAAGGGAACATTAACTGTTTCACTTCTCATCTTCTTTGGAGTACTGGTTATGCTGGGTGATGCCGGACGCTTTATTTCTGTATAATTACATTGCCAAACATTGATAAAAATTATGTAAATAAAAAAACAATTTTTTTTCAAAATTAATGTTTTTTACCTTCAGGAAATAATTGTTTTTTTGTTTTCAATGAATGAAGTTTCTCTTTCAAAAAGAATATATCATTTTTCAAATTATTGTTTTCTAATTGTAATTTTTTGTTTTCATCTTGTAAAGACTGAATTTTCTTTTCTAGAGCAATTGGAATATCAAAAAGTTTTTCACGGTTCCTTTCAAATATTATATCGTCACGATTTGAAGCTTTCAACTTCTCTTTGATTATATTTTCATCACCTTCTTTCGATGTTCTTTCATTATCAAACTCCTTAAAAATTCATAATTTTTAAGAATTTTGAACATCATAAAATATGTACATTATATAAATAAAATAAAAATAATAGTATACTAGCTATAATTAAAATAATAGTTATAATTAAAATAAACAATTAAATGTTTGTAAAAATTTATAACAATACGTGATTGAAATATTACCGTTTCTTTTTGAGTTTCGTTAGGCTCTGGATTTTCTTTTTCTAATATTTCTTTTTTATCTAATATTTTTTGTACGGCATCACTGTAGCGCATTTTTTTAAAGACATAACGTTGTTTGTTATGTTTCAAGTCCTCTTCATTAGCTGCAAAGAATTACACATTAGTAAAAACGTAATAAAATCACATTATTTGCTGAAAAGAAGAAATACTTATTAGATGTATTCAGTAAAAGATTAGAATGAATAATACAATTATTGTTATAAGAGAAAGTAATATCAAAGCTACAAAAAAATAAATTACAGAATCTTTTTACATAACACATACATAATACCAAGCTAGAATGGAGTATAACAAACAAAATTTAAAAAAAATGAAAAAAATCAGTTTGTAGAAAAAAGTTTTAAAAGAAAACAAAGAATACCGCAAAAGATTTGAAGAAAAAAGAAAAGTATTAACTTTTCACTTAAAATTAAAAGTTATTATAAGAATAAATTTTGTACATACTTCCTACTTCCATAATTTGAGCTGCGATCAAAACTTTCTTCATTGGTTATAGTATTCAGTCTTCTTACAAAATATGGATCTTCATACTTATCCAGAACTGTAAAATCTTTTATTTTGTCAATAGAAATAATGTGGATTTTTTTGCTCTCATCATTGAAATAACGTACACTAGCAAATTTAATTTGTGAATCCATAATACCCTATAAAAAATATTTTTTAATTACATTTTCAAAACTTGAAAAACATTTTTAACTATCATAAGAAAATGATTCAAATGATATAGTATTACATATTTATATTATGATTAATATTGAATTCATTTTTAAATCATAAATAAAACAAAATTAAATGTTTCTTACAATGTATATAAAAATAATCATAAACTATTTTGAATAGAGATAAATGATAACATCTCTCATGAAATCGCACAGCATACCAAAAAAACGTCTAGAAAATGTTTTTGGGATGATAGGATATCTTCTGGATATTTTCTTTGAGTGTATTTTGGATATGGGTGCTGTCTGAACTATTTTGAGAACATCATTTTAATGATTATGTAATCTAAAAAAAATACAAAAAAAAGAATTTATATTTTAATTTGCTCTATAATTATTTTTTTAGCAACACATTTTGCTAAATCAAATGAATCACTCTTCTCACTATTCAAGTAGACTGAGAACAAAAATTTTATAAAAAATGTTTATTACTTACCTCATGTGTGCTTCTGCAATCCAATAAAAAAAACACGATTGATTTTGTTCATTATTTATCGTTCACTGTCTCTGATAAGACTCGTTACTGTTGGACGAGAATTTTTCGGTAGGAAACAGTGATCTCAGAAACAAACGTGTTGCGAATTGCTGAAATGCCGTCAATGATTGATTCTCAGGACTCGATCACAGACTCTACATCAGTTATGTCTATGTTCATTGTTACACGGAATTTGCGCGTTATAGCCTTTAAGACCCTTAAGCGCGTATCAGACAACGTATTGAAGATTGAAGATTAAAGATTGAAATTTGACCAATTGAAACAAAAGAAACTAAAAGTTCTTTATTCTGATACGTCAAAAATTTCAATCTTCAATCTTTAATCTCAATCTTTAATACGTCGTCTGATACGGGTTTTACAAAATGCAAGAGAATAGCGATAGCAATAAAATTAATCTATAAACATAACAATAAGAACAAAAAATCCACATTTGTGAATGCATATATCGATGCAATGCGAATAGAAATACGGAACAGGTAATAGCGATGAAATTTTCGTCGAGAATTCTGTGTCTATCGCCTTATAGTCTGTGCTATTTCTGTCGCTATCGCTATTCTCTTGCATTGTGTTTCCCGTTTTAACGACAAAAAGTCGTCATTCTCGTTCATGACCGTTCATGTGTATTTTGTTTGTTCTTCTTCTCTTCTTATTATAATTATATAAATATTAATAACATATAATGCGGAGGTATCATAATTACCTCGAAAAAAAATTTCTAAAAGTGCCAAGAACGAGTCAATACAGGAGAAATATAGAATGTGAATCAAGTGATGAAAGCAGTGATAACAGTGTCGAAGATGCTCAATGGCGAGTAAGTATTATACAGATTTCTAAAAATATTTAAATGGCTATTCTTGTAGTGTAGAATATAAAAACATTTTGCATCATAATTATATTATTTTATTGCTTTCATTTAGGAATACTGTAATCGTCAATCATCCAGTGATAGCGACAATACAGATTCTGATAACACAAGTCAACATAATAGTATTTGCCTATCATTCTCCAATGAAGCATTGTTAGCAAATATTAGAAACAATGAGCAACTTACAATTAGTTCTGACTTATCATTGCATTTAGTACAAGACCAGCACATGGAACTCGTACAACATAATTATCATGAATCTTTATCAACACATGAAGATCCATTTATTGAGCAAAATAACGATCAACAATCATTGTCAGCATTAGAGCAAGTTAGTGTACAATACTTTATACTAAAGGTACGTTCCACTTGGCGATCGCAACGCTTGTGGAATCATTTTATCTTTGTTTTTCATCGAAAGTTAAAGAAAGATAGATAATGTTCACGAGCGTTGCGATCACCAAGTGGAACTCAGCCTACAAAATTATAAATTCTTATAAAAAACGCACTTAGCATTCATTATTAACAGATATTTGCATTTTTTAAGTAGTATGCAGAGGCAGACATCAATATTTAATTGTATTTCTACAATTTGTATTTCACACATTGTATTTCTATACTTTTTTATTTTGAATCTTTATAAATACTTGATATGCATAAAAAAGATTTTTCAGAAAAGTTTTATTCAATTTAATTAGCTTCACTTTTGTGTATAAAAGACATTAACAAAATTCTTATTATTCTAAATATAATATTTTATAGGTTTTTTTTAATTATAAGTTTTTATTCATTGATACAAGACTATGCATTAAAAACTTTGTACCTTTAAGTGTTAAGGATTAATTTAGTACATTTTTAAAAATATAAAATTTATTTTTTGCAGATGGTAGATGTATCTCAGATTCCAATAAATGACACGAATGAACTGTATGGCTTATCAGATTCTGAGAATGAAAATTTTCGTGTAAGATTATATTTTTTAATTTCATATAATTCACAATATGTATGTAATTTACATCAATAACACATCAATTTCTTTTTATTTTTTTATATCCGTCTGATCTTTAAGAAAAGTAAAGTTAATTTATTAATATGTATAAGATATTATTCTAATTCTGTATTTTCTCTCTCAAAAATTTTAAAATTACAAGTATTTTATAAATCATTTTTAAAACTCTATAATGAACATCATTTATATCCACAGGATTCATGGTATTACGATGCACATGAAGAATTATTTCAATGTAGCGATGAAGATGATAGCGATAACGAAGATATTCACGAAGAAGTCAACTCTGAAGATATCAATAGTGAAAATATTGGTTTTAGTAGATTAACAGAAATGATGCAAAATGAAGATAATAATGAGACTATTAATGCTCAAGTAGTTGTAAGTAAAGCTGAAATTCTACTTGCAGTTTTGAAGTATGGGCTTACGTATTGTTTATCACAAAGTGCATTAGCTGATCTTTTTAAAATGTTAAATTGTTTTTTTAATTTTTCTTTATTACCTAGTACGCGCTATCTTGTTGATCAAATGTTCAATCCAGAAACAGTCATAGAATATCATGCAGTTTGTCCAAATTGCAAAAAATATGTAGCAATGTTTGATCGCAAAGATCATCGCGTTGAATGTCAAACATGCGATACTGTAATTGCATTGAAAGATACAACATATAATGACTTTTTTGCTATTATTAATGTAAATAACGAAATTGCAAATTTAATTCAAGATAATCAAAAATATTATGATTATGTAGTGCGCGAAAAAGTGCGAAATAATGAAAAATTCGATGACATTACAGATGGAATATTATACAAAGAATTTGTTGACTCATTGTCAATACATGATAAACTTAATTTTGCTACAACTACAATGAACAGTGATGGATCCCCAATTTTCGAAAGTTCTAGATTTTCTATTTGGCCGATTCAAATGATTATAAATGAATTGCCTTTGGATGTAAGAACTTCTAGACCTATAGTGTGCGGCATATGGTTTGGTAAAGATAAACCAAATATGAATATTTTTTTAAAACCGTACGTTGTTCACATGAACAAATTATCAAATAATACGGTACGATGTACTATTGCAAATGAAGTACGTATTATTAAAGTATTCACCTTATGTTGCTGCGTAGACTCTGTTGCTCGTGCACCGATGCAGGGTATAGTTCAGTATAATGGCTATTTCGGATGCAGTTGGTGCTTACATCCAGGATATTATGTTGTTTACAAGAGAGGTGGAAGTGTAAAATATACTTTAATGAATGAAGTACCGCCTAAAAGAACTGAAAATGAAACAATCGAGCACATGCGACTGAGTCTTACATCCCGAAAACCCGTTTATGGTGTAAAAAATCCTTCATGTTTAATTAATTTGCAAGGTTTTAACATTATATCTGGTTTTGTACCAGATAGTATGCATTGTCTTTGTTTGGGAATAGCGGAACAATTTGTAGGGTATTGGATCGAATCAAACAACTTGCCATATTCTTTATCCAATAATGATATTAATAAAATTGACAACTTGTTATTAACAATAAAAGCTCCCAATCAAATTGTTCGTTTATCTCGTTCCATACGAGATAGAAAATATTGGAAAGCAAGAGAGTGGGAGAATTGGATTCTTTACTATAGTTTACCGATTTTACTATATTTTCCACATTTAGAAATATGGATAAAGCATTGGTCACTTCTAGTAGAAGCATTCCATATTTTATTAAAGAAAAGTATTACACGTAACGAAGTCAATCATGCTCATACTTTATTAACAAAATTTGTTGATTACACCGAACACTATTATTTCAAAGCTGCTATGACGTACAACATCCATCAACTATTGCATTTGGCACAAAGTGTAGCAGATTGGGGCCCACTTTGGGCTCATTCTGGCTATTGTTTTGAAATGGAAATGGTCAAATAGTTCGAAAAGTGCATGGTGCTAAGGGCGTTGTACATCAAATTTGCAGATCGATAGCAATGAGTCAAAGTGAATTGATTTTAAAGAAACATATTGCTTTGAAAGCGTTTTCAAATGTAAGTAGTTTTATTTCTTATCTGGACAAAAAAAACGCAAAACAAACATGTAAATTATCGCATGCAAGATACTTTGGACCACATTATAAAACTAGTTTAATGTGGAAAGAAGAACTTGAATTATCAGATGAAAGTCGAACATATCGTAAAATGGTAAAAGAACGATGTTTGTACACATCATCAAGAAGAAATATGATTCGATCAGATAATTCGTATGCTGTAACAACAGAAGGAGATTTTATTCGCATTATAGAATTTATTATCGATATTCCAACAAGGAAAGAGTACACTATCTGTCATTTAGTGATTAAAGAAGATATTTTTAATAACAATTCTTTACCATTGAAAAAAGTTGTAAATATTTCTGATAATTTAATAATAAAAGACACTAACAGCATTGAAAGAGTTTGCGTTTTTATGAATATAGATAACATGATGTATATATGTCCAGTGCCGAATCTGTATTTTTATTAATCGTTTTTTACGTATAAATGAGAATTATGATGTTATAAACAAATGGCGATAATTTAAGTAACAGATTACATGTTTGGAGGCCTTTTTGTTATTTAATAAAATGTTTCTAAATTCTTCGTGATAAAATTACATGATTTCGTTATGCGATTTAACTGATGAAAACTGATGAAAACTCTTGAAAATAACGTTATTAATTATGCAATTAAACAATTTAACGGGTATTTTCAATAGAGAATACACGCAATTCTGGCTTAAACGCCTGAATTTTTGTATGTTTTTAGTTTTCATATGCAAAATGTTTTATTAAAAAAAAATGTTTTCATATAATTAAGATATCACAATGTAACTTTATTGCTACATTTATCGAGACTACATAATGTAATTCCATTACTACATGCAAAATTAATAAACATATCTAAATCAAAATTGTATATTTTTTCGTTTTTCTATTTCTATCATTCAGCTCTTTAAAATATGATTGCTATAAAATCACATGATTTTCTAACATTACGTGATTTTTCAAACCATGTAATTTTCAAAAATCATGTACTGATTTGGAACATTTCATTACGTGATTTACTTAGTCATTAATTACGTGATTTTGTTATGTAATTTTATCACTTGATTTTATCACGTGATTTTTTTCAGTAGGGGATATAAGGCAGTTGATAAACAATAAACGCCTCTCGATACGAAAGACGAGCTAAATGACTTAGCGAAAAACATGAGGCTGACCGCCGATGCGAGCCACGGAGAGAGTTCTCGTTCGTCCGTCGGCTAGTGAACACATCCTTGTAATTATTCTAAAATATACTTATACTTTTATTAATTATTTCGCTGTCGTTTCTACCAAGTCCCTACATATATATGAATAAATAAAAGTATGTCTGAATAAATAGAAAACGTATATATATACTGTGCACGCGAGTTCCATGGACTGTAAGGGACAAATGTCACGATCCGCCGCAAAATCTAGCAACAATGTCGATGCACCGCGACGGAGCACTTTTCGCCATTACGATGTTTTTAACCACCGACAGAGGCAAGATCTTTTTATTTTCTTCGTGAACGGGCACAGCGACGAGGGGAGGTATAAAAGGGCGAAGTAAAGGAAGGGAAGCCGTCGGTGAAGTCGAAGAAAGACAAACCACTCGGTCGTGACGACTCGTAAGTTCCCGCAGCGGTAGTACCGGGACTCTGGAACGAAACTAATCGAAGAGCACGACGCAGAAGCCTCTCATCCGTGGAGGGTCGCCGCTATTGACTTAGCGAAGTTTGGATTGCTGTGCGGATAAGACGCGCGGCAGAGTCAGCAGGCGAGCCGCGAAAGCTTCGTCTCGAGCGCCTCGTTCTCGTCCTCACACGTATGCCGAAATTTCCGATCGCATTCCGCGTTTAAACTGCCGGCGGCGGAACGCAATGGCAGGACACGAATTTGGACTAAATCGACATTAATATTCCTGTTTAGAAACCTGAAGATTCCAAAGCAATTCAATGTCGTTTCGAGCGATCGCTCTTGAGCGAATGCGATTCCTTCTGCATTTAAAGCATGTTATGTTTAAACTTGCAGCTACATTGAGGATCTCTCAAAGATTTGATAAAAATTAAATCAAAATTTATAAAATAAAATATCGAGGTATGGAATAAAAATTGTTAAATATTAACAAATCACAGATAGAATAAATTTTTATGCAATTCATAAAAAAGATCTTCTTTCTTTAGAAACTTCTATACATATAAAGAAACATATAAATATAAAAATTTTAGGAATTCATAGAAAATTCGAGCAAAGCGACAAATTAATCATTTACGCTACTTCGACCGAGGGAAAAGTTCTTCGCAAACGTCGAAAAGAGTCAATTCAGAGGCAAACGCGCTTACATCGTTCGCAAAAGATAACACGACGCTCGTTGTCTCGTTAAGTCGACAGAGATCGAGCGTTCGTTTGGTTTACGAGAAAGAGCATCGTCCCTTTTCAATATGTCAACCTCATTCAACCTCCGGGGAGCCCGAGATCTTTTCTCCAAGTTCGCAAGGACGTCTTTTCTATAAGGATACACGCTTCGGTAATGAGAAAACGAAGAATAGCAACGCTACGATACGTATACGTGTATAATTTGTACTCGGAAAATACTCTCCAGATGTGATTAAGGATCAATATACAGTGCTGCATGCAAAGCGAAACGAAGCTTTCATTTATTCACAGAAGCAAACGGTCCTCTAGATAAATGTAAACCCTTTCTGATTCATAACGCACTAACAACTTGGACTAACAATTAAATTTAATTAAATTTGTAAAAAAATTTTTTAGTAAAATATATAAATAATTAAGAAATATTAATTGATTGAAAAATGCTAACGTGCCTATTCGACTTTATATGCAAAGATACATAAGACACAACTTTTTTAAAATAATCCAAAAAGCAAAAAAACATTTATGCAAAAACAATGGAATAGCAACGTTTTGAATCGATCAATAAGAAAACCGCAAGGCTGTTTCCCAAGAGATGGATCGTATCAAGTAGAAACAGACAGACAGACTTGTCCAGACGCCATACGTCGCGATTCATCAACAAAGCGCTCGGCATAACTTGATTTTCGCGACCGAGTCGAGGCCTGATGGCGACTGAACACGTGAAAACGTGGGAAGGAGCGGGATGGATGCTATCGTTCCGCGATAATGGCCATAATGACGACGATAATGCCCCGACACACGCGCCGCGCAACCGGCGACTTGATATATCGTTTAAACCGGCGTCGTTACGCCGCGCGGACTCTCCTCGTCGTAACAACGATTCCGACGGCAGCGAGTGCCGGGAGTTAAGCGCACCCTATGGAGAAGACGCTCGCGCGGTGTCGTTAACGGTGTCATCTCTCGTTGTCGTCCACCTACGCGAACGACTGAATATGAAGTAAGCGGGAGGGCACAGCGAGTCGTTTGCGGCAATAACGATAGCTCGCTGGTAATAACCCTCTTCGTTTAAACATGTTGATGGAGCGTTATCATAGGCAATCTGAAGGTACGGGCTTATGCGTTCGCTTTGTTTCCATTTAATTGCGGATGCTTTACCTGCACAGTTATATTTCTTATATGGCAATTTACGTTCCGCGCTGTAGCTTTCCTTTCATGGGATATCGTTTAGAGTTGCCGCCGATTATTCTTGCATTCAAATACGTAACATGTAAACGATTAAATAGTCAATGATGAATAATAATAATGTAGTTGTATAGTAATTTGGAATTTGATGTCTCATAACACATAAAAGAAAAATTACCTATCTGTAATTATTTATTTATTTGTAACTTAGGGATAAATTAAACAAGAAATTCAAAGCGCAAAATATGTTACAAGAAGCAAAAGTGATTGCGAGAAGCACAAGTTTTCCACGTGAGTGACGAAGAAACTGCATATAAAATGAGATCTGATCACAATTTATAAGTCCATATAATATTTCTGAATTTATCGTGAAAAATTATAAGAGATTCATCAAGTTATTTTGATCACAAAACTAATTAAAATAATAGACAAAATCACTATACATATATAAATATTACATAGCGTGGTCAACGATAAGACGATAACGTAATTAACGAATTTTTATTAAATTTGACTCTATCACTTTATCACAATCGGAATAATGACCGCATGATTGAAACACGTCGCTTATTTATGCGATATGGAATGCCTGAATTATTCTCAGAAATTATCGCCAGAATTAAATCGTACGAATCCGCGTGAACAGATCATCCAATCAGCCATTCGTTCGCATAGTATTAATTCGAATAATCTTCGTTACTGCATAAGAGAGTATATAAACCGCTGCTTGCTGACTAACAATGCAATTTCTGCCTGCGCTATTCGCAAATGAAACGAGATAATACTGATTTCCACAATGCGCGTCGTGAATATACTGCGCTCGATAGATTTGACGCTGCCTAATGCTTAATGTCGCCGGTTTATTCATCGACTTCGAAAACGGCACGCGCGGCTGTTCGCTTAAGCAACGAAGCTTCCCGAAGTATACAAATACGGAATAATTGACACAGCGTATCGTCATTATTAATGGTTCTTTTCAATTCCACGGGTCCATCGAACTGTTCATATTCGGAGATTTACGTTCAATATTATCGTATATTCATTTTGTGCTGCAAATAAATGCGCTTTTGACAGCAAAGTGATAATATAAAATATACAAATAAATACGCGCGTACAAATACGCATATATAGAGCATTTAATAAAATTTGTTATACGACACAATCAAGCTTTTGAATTCGATAACTATATTTTCTTAACAAAAATTTGACTATACACAGACGGCGCACAGAAACACATATTTAACAATACAAACGTTCATTATACGTTAATTAAAGTAACATATTTCGCAAAGCAAATCCTCTCCATTTAATATTTCGACAAATTGGCAAATCCCTTGTTTCCACGATAAACAGTATTTTCTTAACAAACTAAAACCGCGGCGCGCTCGCGCGCGCATTTTCTCCCACCGAGCGAAATCGCGATCTTTCTTGTTTCCGTATTTTCAACAAGCGGGGTAAGCTTATCTACATTATTCAAATAATCCTTCAGACTTCTCGTTTTAGCCTCGTTCTCTCTCAATATTACTCGCAACCGCCACGGCGAAGGACGGAATTCATCGTGTACCGTAGGGATCAGCGTCGCAGTGGATTAAACTACGCGCGACCATGTCGGGAATGCGTTGATAACATTATGCGCATCTTTTTCCCTCATGAATGTCCCCGGGATGCGGACGGGATGGAATGAGTGGATTTACAGGCGAAAGATTCTCGCGCGCGCTCGACAAGGAAGCGCCGTCCGTAATATTCCGTAATATTCATTCCCGGGATACGCCCCTTGTAATACGGCGCGGAAAATCAAAGTTCCGACAGGGCGCGAGTTAAAACCGCCGGTTGTCGCTCTCCGACTTATTATCCGCATTATACAAATGGCCCCGCCTTGGTTCTTGCTTCAGTGTCGCATTATGCGCGCGAATCGCGTCGAATTTGGCGTGCATCGCGCGGACTCGAAACGCCGGCACGATTAAATTCATACTCGCCGAGCGAGAGAGGAAACTATTCCGTAACTTCTCCGCTTCGCAGTTTCGCAACTGCGGATTAAGCGAGAAGGGGGTATACGACAGTGGTGGCGGCGGTGGTAAGGAAGGAGGCGGCGGCCGAGGTCGCGTGCAGATTTCGGAGGGTTGGCGAAACGACCGACGAGATAACGCGCACGGTTTAGATTATTACTTAAACCAATCGCCGAGCAGGATACGCGTCGTGACCGTATGCAGTTGCGATGTTCCAGCTTACACGCATGATATTAAAATGCATCGTATACGATTATAAAATATACGTAAAGTAGAACATATCTTTTCAAATATCACACTTTATTCGATCAGATATAAAAAATATTGTATATTTATGTGAGATTTTTGAAAACAGAGTATTTCAATCTGCCCCGACTTCTTATTTTCTTCCGTCTACGACATCCAAAACCTTGAACTAGTGACTCACCAACGTGAAAATTTCACTGTCGCCTATCTCTATCAGAAATATGCCCGAATGCACTCAAAACCGCGCAATATAGTTACTCCGGGAAAATGGCTTTCATTCGCGGTGGAATAATTGAGGTCACTACCGCATCAGCGCGGTGAACGCGGAAATCGGCCGAAATCCCGAGAATCAAATTTTCTACCTTCGCTCCAATTTCAGCCAGCTTTTAATAAGTCAACAGACGAGCTCGTTCGATATTCAGTCCAGCGTACGGTACCGCGGCACGGGCCAATACCGAACGATCGTCCTCTCCGTTGCTGGCGAAGGCGCGCGGCGCCGCGCGTTTCGTTCCGACACGTCACGTGCACGCCGTCACCGCGAACCACTCCAAATCTGACACCGCATTGGCGCACGTACGCAGCCGGTTTAAGCGGGCATGTTTGCACTGCCAGTGTTCCGCTAACGAACCTATCCAGGCACCCCGAACCCGTCTCGCGAACCCTTAGCGACCCGACCGGCTCCTCGTTGTCGTTGTATCCAGCTGCGTGCCACGTTCCGCCTTCCACTTCGCGTACCCGTTTTAATAATGTAAGTCGAAACCCCGCAATCAACTCAATGTTTTAGTCCCCAATCACAAAACCTTAGTTTGTGTTAAATAAATTTCGGAAAAATAGGTATATTTCTTTAGTTTGTTGTACAAGAACTTAAATTATCTTCTTTCAAATCAGCTACTACGGAATTATTTTAATTTCTGTATATCGGTTCTTTCTTTTCTTAAAAGTAGATACACCGTCATCGCGTCGTCAAATAGAAACACAATGCATACAAACTATGCATGAATTATATGTTGAATTTGCAAGTACTTGCAAGCTGTATCTCGCATGAATAATTTATTCTTATACTTATATTCGAATCGAATCCAAAGACATCCATAGCCTCTTACAGTAAAAATTTATCTTTTAGATCTTTAGTCAATAAATAAAAAGGTAGAAAATGTTGTGTACACGAGATATCCGAGAAAACAGTCGTGCGTGTATATTCATCAATTGTTTAGATTCATGGAGAATGTACTCGAAATATTGTACACTAAGACTTATTGAAATGCAAGAATAGAGGGAGAGAGAGAGAGAGAGAGAGAAATGCGGTCAAACAATTGTTAGCGTACGGAAGTATCAGTAGAGAAGAGAAGATGAGTGTGTACCCTGTCGGAAACAGTTACGGATGCATTTAAGGAAGTTAAATCAGAATGTTTGTTCCTTAACATTTAGTAGCTCTTGTAAATTCAGGAATTCAGGCAACTAGTCGAAGTTTCGGAGGCAATACAATGCAATAGCATACGCGTAATGAATGCAGAATCGAGTCAGGTTTTACAACAACAAAAAAAAGTGAATATTTAAAATCTCCACATTAATTAAAACAAATCTCGTAATTTCCAATTGGTTTAGCTTCTAATTTATGTCATGCGAACAAATGTCTGACAATAGAATGTAGACTGACCAAGCGGCAGAATTTTGAAGCATCAGGTGTGTTACTATTTGAGGAAGATGCGAAAAGCGCGGAAAAACATTGGCGCGGCCGCTGCTGCCGGCTGCGTAAGCGCCCTACGTAAATAATGAAATAATTTATGATCGTTACACAATGATCGTCATAAATCGCATTTCTGCTGGTCGACAGAACGTGCCATTATGCGAGGAACTCCGCTTCCGCTGTCAGCCTCAACCCCTTCCCGCACGCTGTCGATATTTTACCGCGGGAACGCAATACACGGCCGGCATAATTTATCTGTTTTCAAATATGCCCGCGCCGATAGATTTACATATTTTAATATAAATTCCTAAATACCGGCCCATACAGACAGCCCTATGAAGCGCCGAGTACGTCTCTATCGATCATCGCCCCGCCGTCCTTCCGCGCTTTACGTCTTGCTTCTTATCCCCACCTTTCCTTAATGTAACAGCTAAGAGCACCTAAAAACGAAGAATATAAACGACGGATTCTTTGCATGACTCCGTGTTATTAATTGTACCGTGGCAAGCAAGGTAAAAGCGCACAATTTAAGCATAACTTAAACAACCGGTATCTCATTTTTTATGCTAAAAAAATTTAATTTAAAACTTTATACAACGGAATAACAATTCCATTATTTTAATATCAATTAATATCAAATATAGATTATTAAGCATCGCTATATAAAAAATAAACAAAAATCGAAATGTCAACACAGTTTTCAAACGTCTTTCAACGAAATATTAGATTGCACATTATACATTTCAATTATATATGAGTTTAATATTATCAATATAATATTTTATCGCAGAATTATAAAAGAGAGAGAGAGAGCGACAAGATTTAGAATGCACTGCATCTTAGGCAGCCTTTCAATGAGTGTCATAGATCTCTCTATAATGCTGCAAGAGATTTAATCGCAAAGCTGAAATTTGAAATACACTTAGATTTTAACAGAAACATTCGATTCATGTCGAGTAAATCGATTTTCCTCTCGCGACTGATAACGCGACGCGTTTCCCTCCCTCGAACTGCTCGAAACGCGACAGAAGTTGTTTGACACCTTAACTATCGCTCGCACTCGAATGCCTCCCCGGTTGACAGTTGAGCTCGGTACAATGTGAGCTGTTATCATCGTCGGAAGTTCGTGTTTAGAAGCACGCATACGCACGAGCGCCCGGCGATATATAGGAAACGTGCGTTTCGATTATTCGCGTAAATGCCAAATGACATCGCTGTATTTGTCATGCGCCAAGTAGAGTGTAACCGCCGGTTGCATATAGCAGCCATTTCGTCGAAATTTGAATGGAACGATTACACATGAACATATTGCCGATAACGTTGCGACGCGATAAGCAAAATTTGTCACAAATTTCAATTTCGAGTATGTCTTTTTAAAGCGACACGAATACAAGGCACACAAGCACGTGGCATTGCGTGATAAACCCGATACTCATATATGAATTTGTTTTCTGATAACAGAATGCACCAAGTAGATAATAACTTATCTTACATTGTGCAAAAATATTTCTGCAATGTCATTGTACTTATATATATTAAAAAGTATATCCACACAAGTACTGCGTTAAGAGGAAAGAATATTATGAACAAATTAGATGTGAAAATTTTATTTCCATGCAATCCAAAACGTATGCGTAAACTTAGTTCACGATCCTAAGTTTCTTACTCCATTATTAACACAAGTTTCTCGTAAAGTTGTTGATGCGCTAAGATGGGCATCTTGTTGAAAATGTTCATATTATTTCCAAGGTAGGTTGGATGGTAAGCTCCGTAATCTGAAAATTACACAACGCGCACAATGGTTTTGCTATACTTTTATATTGTGGAAAGAAAATGTGTTAGCAATAATTTAAACCTGAACTTCTGGTCGTGTTCCAAGAACATAAACGAGCGCATTCGCCACATCTTCTGGTTCAATACACCGTATTCTATCGAACAAATCATGAAATTCTTCCATGTCCTTAATTATGTTAGTTCTCACTGCACCAGGGCTGATGTTCTGAAAAGACAAGTAATTAAAAGTCGTAGGAATCTTCAATTTTTTATGTACATATATCACGCATAATTATTAATACACATGTATATAAATTAAATTTTATTATTCAGATAGAATAACAGATGTATATTTAGTATTGATAACAATTGTTAAATATAAATATAACAAATACAAACTCTTGTCGTTCATAACTGTAGCAAACCAGGTAAAAAGTGAAAATGGATTCGAATGATCGCAACTTACTGTAACTCGAATAGGAGCCTGAACGGCTGCTATCTCTCGTCGTACTGCGGTAGTCATAATGCGAGCGGCGTACTTACTAGCAGGATACAAATTATATCCGTTGCAACCATCTTTATCTGACATACCTTGTATAGGATTCAAGTGAGCTAAAACACTACACATCAAAACTGTTTGTGTCAAATTATCTCATTAAATTATTAGTAAATATTTTTATTTTTTAATTCTCTCCTTTCTCTTTAGTGTAGAAAAAAAGCGCTCGTTTCGCAAATAACTTATTTATTCGAAAAGTTGTCATGGAACTCGTCAATGTAGTTAATGAACGACTCAAATAAATAACAATACCTGGTGATATTGAAAATGTGCCCTTCGACGTTTCGCTTGCGCATCGAGCTCACGGCCTTGTTCATAGTCACAGCATACGCGAGCACATTAGTATTTAGCAGCTTTTCGAACATTTTCCTATCACTTTCTGCAAGTGTAAGTTTATGGAATTGTTCAAAGTGCGTCAACGATAAGAAAAACTAAAGCTTTCCACTATCGATAAAAGCACAAGACACCTGCCATCGCAAACTGCACATTGTGCATATAAAAGTATAAGAGCCCCCTTCTTTTTCCGCGATAATATCTTCCACGCTAAAAGACTTCTCTGTGTTTGAGCGATTTTAATAGCACTCCGCTATTGAAACTGGATTAGAAATTCAATTACGCGAGAATTTAATCAATTTCAGAACTTTTCCAAAAAAAAAGTCTAAAACAATAAACGTACAAAGATATCGTATTAAGACACGTCATACTCTTATTTTTTTTTAATGATAGCTATCTCGTGCATAAACATACAATTTATTACAAATTATTTTCAAACCGATTAATTGCGTAATTTTGAGATAAAACGTATCGTTTATTATCTCAGATAGTTAAATGTAGTTTGACAAGACAAATTTGATTAAATTTACCGAAATAGTTTTGCAGTTTATCGCGAAAAAAGGATTTTAGGCCTGTTGTAAATAAAAGCGTGTAAATATAATACTTATTTAGCACAAACGTAACGTACCAATTATGCGCGAATAATCAATGATGCCAGCACAATTGACCATGATGTCCACATTGCCCAACGTCTCGATCGTCGAGAATGCCTTATTAATTTCACACTCGACAGTTACGTCGCAGCATATGGGAAATAGTTTACCCGAAGTACGATTTCGCTTACATTTCTCATCGAGCTCCGTCAATCTTTCTTTCCGGATATCCAGAGCACCCACGTTTACTCCGTTTCGCAGAAGAGCACATGTAATTGCTTCGCCCATGCCGGATCCAGCGCCGGTAACGACCGCGGTTTTACCAAGCCAACGATTCATAATTGCCTGTCTGCAAGTACGACGTAGCTCGCGGTTGACATGCCACTAATAACTACCGAGCCAAAAATAATTTCAAGCACGTAAAAAACGTAATCATGAACGTCTACAATCGCAGTCGACGTTAAATTTAGCTGTAAATTTGTGGAAATGGCATTTCGATTAACAACATCAACAATGATGTGTACTTACGTATATATCTTCTCTCTTCTGCCTTTTCTTCGTAGCCGCCAAAAAAAATAATTCGCCGTAAAACACACTTGAGAAAACGTTTAATTGCGTAACTGCTGCAATTAAATGAGTGGTGGGTCAAAGCAATCGCATCATATCGATGGTTCGGTGCGAACCAACTGTGTCGCTAGCACATGTAAGACCACAATATAACAAGCGATTACAATGATCTAATTGATTCCATCTCTTGGAGTGGGAGCAAGAAAAGTACGCAAAGTCGCAAAAAAAAACAAGTGATAATATAAACGTATGCGTGCATATCTCTAATATTTGCATATAATGAAAATATTTGTAAACTACGATAATATTATAAGTACTTGCTACTCGAAGTGAAATATATGCAGGAATATTATAATGTTTCGATGATACGTTTACGCGAGGCAATCAATAGAGACTTTGAATTGTCCGGGCATTATCGATTGACTTCGGCTGAGCAAAAAGAATTATATGCTGTTTGTACACTGTTTTAACGAGCATTTAATTTGAGGTTTACAAAAACTTGTTGAAATCGCGACAATAAAGAATTCTCCATAACATTTGTGGAAAATGATTGAGATCGCAATACAAGAAAATTTCGAGCATAATGATAGAAAACGAACAAAGCTTGCAAAAGCATCCGAGCGGATCAGTGCTCGTGTGGTGCTCATTCGAGTCTCGTTTTTTGAATTCGCGTGAGCATTGAATCAAAACAGAACCATGAATAAAAAAATATTGCAGTTGCAATCTGATCACATGCTCACTTTGACGTACCGACAGTGAGCGGATCAGATCGAACGGCTCGGCGGCGATTCATTTGAGTCCGATTCACAGTCCTGAGCACGTTTATTCGGGGGCGAATGCTCAGATGAATACGCGATTCAATCATTTACGAAGTCCATCTGTAGCGAGCCAGAGTACAACAAACCTGCGTTCTGCAGGTTGCAATTTATATATTCTCGGGAATAAAATTATTTAGAATTTTAATCGAAACATCAAAAAAATTGAAATTTTCTACTTTATTAACTAAAAAATATTTTTTATAACGACTGCCACGGTATCGATCGGTTATTTGCGGAAGGTATTGTCACGCCGTGTACGTGTTATGTGAACAATCCATTAATTTTCTTCTAAGACAGCAAAGCGCTATATTAAAAGTTTTTGTACACGTATCACAATTGTAAAAGAGAATATTTCATAGAAAACGGCGACCATTTTTCGTTGCAAGTATGTCCTGAACGTCGAGCACGTATAGGCCAGACGCATCATGGACGAGGACAGAGATCCTTCGGCTTAGGTTTATCCGTTTACCCAGTGGCTCCGTCCTACGGTTTTGCCACGGCCTTTACTTGTTTTAAGTGAAGCGCGACGTGACCTGCCGCAATCCCTTCTGTATCCACGTACAATCACATTGGCTTCTGCGTACCGTCTCTGAACCAATCTCTTCCGCGAGACATCGGGCGGAATATCAGGATATTTCGAAATCCCGGAGATTCCGGAAGACGACTTCCAGAGACCTATCCCGCTACGTAGAGGAGGATTTTATTGTCAAAATATACAACACGAATATCTCAACTTATGACCATCAGAAATTTGTGCTTCAATATCGAAAAATAATTTGAGATACTTCAGAAAATTAACTTTGACACACATCTCACTTGCGCGTTAATTACACTGCAAGCAATAAAACGAAAATGTCGACTTTGATTGTCAAATTGCCGATTGACAATTCAAGTTTTGTGAGATCGTATTTAATGTAAGCGAGAGATAACAGAAAGGAAAAGCTTCGTAGCGTCGCATATCACATACGCGATTTCTATCTTCGTCGCGGCAAAAAATGCTGACAATGAGATGAAAGATCGCGGAACGACTGATCTTCGAATTTAACCGTATCGCATCGCGCTGGAGAATTTATCCTTTCTACGGACAACGTCGCCATCTCAGATCGGTTACGTCGGTAATCTCAAATCTCGAGACTCGAAATGGGAGCCACCCGCCCCCCTCCCCTCCGCCCCTCTTCTTCGCGGATAAACGATACCCGTTTCCGGACGCAATAACAACAGCGTGTATCGATCTTCGTGAGCCGGCATCGGTCCGAGTCCAGTACCAGGCCGAGAGCATATCCTGTTCTAACGCGGGAACGACGAGGAAATTCAACAGGAAAACCCAGTAGGAAAAGGCACTTCCCCCCCCCCTCCTCCCTCCAATCTCACCCCGCCAGATGCTACTGCTAGTCGACCATTTCTCAACGTTGCCGTGATTACGCGCATCGTTTTGCACTTACTATCCACGGATTCATGTCTTTTTTTTATAAGCGACAAATTACATAACGAGGTTCGACTATGTTAGTCGCGGCCACTTGTCAAACGTATGAGGAATGAGAAAAGATATGCTGGAGAAGGTCAGTTTTCAGATAAGAAGTGTTTTAAATAGTATCATGTCAGAAGTTGCATATCATTTCTTGATTTTAAATTGCTTTTTAAGCTTATATCCTTCAACAAAAATAGACATGTTACATTACAGAATTATGTCACATTAAAAATTAAGCAATTTTTTTTTTTACTAAATAAATTTTAGAGATAAATATTATTTCTTAATTAATTTCAACTAAACTTGAATAAAATTTTAATCCAAGATTTAATTCGCAAAATATTCTCAATAAATCTATGTTTGTCAAACAAACTATATTTAAAAAGCAATTATTTGATCTATATAAAATGTAATGTTCATATATCAGTATATTTTAGATTTCTGAAATATTTTACTCCTTATTCCGCGGAGTACTTTGAAGTCGGCGAAGAGCGAGCGTATTTCTTGAGATATCAGAAATGTTCGGGCACACGATTTAAGAAGTAACGACCTTCGAACCAAAAATATTATTATACTCCGCGCCAGCTGACGAGGAAATCAAAAAGAAAGGTAGAGAAAAGCTGTGTTCTTCGATTCGGAGCGCCATATGCTTCTGCCGCTTAGCTATTTTTCAACGGATCGTGATTACATATACCAATCTGTATTGTTAACCCTATAGCTTTCTTTTCTTACAATATACGCAACTATAAATTGCACGTATTAAATATCGAAGAAAATAAATTTCAACAAACTAAAAGTTGATTATCTAACATAGAAAAACTTTTATACAAACATTTGCTGCAAAAGGTGACATTTTTAAGACTGTAATCGTCCTTGTAAATTATTTATAAAAAATTAATCTCAAAATTAACTCTTTATCAAAACAATCTCATTTTCAGAAAATTTATTTTATTATATGCATATACACGTATAGAGTATGTATACATTATGTATTCACACCGATTCGGTTAGCTTTTGTGAAAACATATAACGGCTCGACTTCTGTCTAAAATCTTCGATTCTACGAAAGTTGGCTTTACACGTCGTTTCCGTCGGCCAGATGTGAAGAAACGACCATTGGGCGCCCATAATTTTCGAGTTATCGAAAAAACTTCTTCGGATCTGGAGCGAAGCGGGTGCCCGCCGAGAATTTTCGAAACTTTCTTCTTTGCCAGGTGCAAACGAGATGCAAACAACCCGGCTGCCAGACCATTTTGAAAATTCCGAACGGGTCATCCAAGTAGTTCCGCGTGCGGAAAATGCGAAATCAGCCGTCCGCGCGTTTGCACCAACATCCGGCTTGCGATAACTCGAAAACTATGACGGCGCGATTGAGGGCTTTTAAAATCTAACGGTGACAAATAAGACAGAAGAGGAGCGTAGAAGAAAATTTTGAAAATTCTCACTCGTTGACCCACTTCATCTCCGAGTTGAAGTAGTTGCTGCCGGCGCGATAAGACGCGACTGAAGTGCGGCGACTTTGCCGAGCAAAAACTCAGAAGCTTAAGAGCGAGTCCATCGTGAAGTTCTCCATTACCGGTTCCGCTCAGAAAACTGTTTGCGTAATATGTAGGACACAAATGCAGACGCGAAATTCAAGGAAGTCGCTGCAAAGTTGCATCGCGAAAGTCGCGAACTTCTTGTGTGCATCCGCTTAATTATTCTTATATTTCTCAAAAATCTATATGTATCTTATGCGAAAAGAAACTGAAAAATCTACAATTTTCACAGAAAACTCTAACTGGAAAGTGCACCGTCCCAGATAGGGATGAGAAAAATGAGAAAAGATTTGCCCTTTTTCCGCTTCAAAGCACCAGATGTTCCTACTACTCGATCATTTCTCAACGACGCTGTGATTACACGCATCACTTTGTATTGCCACAATTTCGTGTATTTCTTTTTCTTGTAGCCGCACAATGTACATAATATATTGTATTGTCAAAATTCACTTAAACCGTATTTATCTATTTATCTCGTTGCGATAAATAGATAAATATTTCTTCAAATATTTGCATTCTTTAATTGAACGAATATTTAATCGCGCGTGCGTCAATAATCTATGAAATTCATCCATGATTTTAACCGTACGGCATCAATATTTGATAATATATTCTTTAATTAAACTGTTTAATTTATATCCATTCTAAAAACTTAAGTCGTAAAAAATCAGTTGTTTACAGTCATTATTGCTGTAACAAAATAATTTCAAATTTATAGAGTATTATCAAAAATCTTGATACAACAACGACAAATATTAGTAACAAAATCAAGATATCATGCGAATAAAATCGCATCTGCAGCAGATCGATTCTTGATTTTCGAAAATAACCCTGATACCACTTGACGAGAACGAAGAGTCCTGTGACAGCTTTACAAAGAGTTCATCTCCACGAGAGTTCGTCTGGAGGAAGTTATTTGGAAGCTTATTCGGAAGTTTAAAGTATCTATCGAAGAATAGCTGAGAACATAGAGAGGCGGCATTCAAGTTCGTTTCCGAAGCAATAAACGATAACGGACGGTATCGACGTTCTTTCTCCAGACTACCGAGCTAATGTATAAACGTGAAATAGCTAGTTCGGCATTCTTATGACGTCAATTCCATGTCTTCGTTCATCAATCTCAATTATTCAAAACGATAGGCAAATAAAACATATAAAATGTGAAAATGATTATTTCACTAATATTACTGAGCAGGTTTTACAATATTAATAAATATCTCTAACACATTAATAAATAAATACTAAGAAGGAATTTTCATCTAAACTATGTGCATAAAAACAAGTTACAATATTAAAATAATTTTAATTCATTTGGTAAC